AAGAAATAAAGGAGAAAGACCAAATAAAAATAAAATTATACCTGTTCCCTCTTTTCGCTTTGCTCCGCCATCTTGTTTCAGAAGAGCGCGTTGCTTGGGATCCACGCCTCCTTAGCATTGCCTCTTGTTTTACTGATTATTGGTGTTTTACTGATTATTGGTAATTCTAGAATGAGGACATGTTGTGATTGAAGGGTCATGCTAAATGTAACAGGCGTTGATAACAAATACCGATAAATCCTGGTTACGATTCTATGAGCCCGCCATCTCATCGCCCTCGTCAAAAAATTAAAGATTGGTACCGAGAGTGTTCTGTGGATCTCTGATTTCGCTAGCACTGAAAAACACAAATAACTTTTTAGCCCCTCTGCGTTCGTTTACAGCCGTCTTAAGCCACAGTTTCCACGTAAGCACGTCAGGTAAACGTGATGAATGCGTTCTTATTTTCATTTTCAAGTGATGCATTGTAGCTAACGCTTAACTCTTAAATATAAGGCCACTTAGTTATGTCTCTTTGATTCATCGAATCATATTAGCTGAAAATGGTTTTTCATTGCAGATAGCAAACAGTATCACAACACCCGGAGAAAAAGGATGCTTCGCCGGTTTAAATTGAACCAGTTACAGGCGAAACTAGAGGTATGTGTATGACAGGACAAGCATGGAATTTTTTCAGTTGCACTTCTGTTGATAGTATACCGCATTATTCCTTAGTTTTGTTACATCTCGCCTGGTTTATTTTCGTTTCGTTTCGCAAAATAGAATAAGCCACTTCTGTTCTTAGTAGATAGTTTGAGGAAACCTTTAATTTTATGTCTGGCTCACAAGGAAACCAGTCCACTGACAACTGTTTCTCCTGGAATGATTGTTTTAAAGCTTACAAATTACGACCAGTGTGGAGTAGTTGATGACTTGCTTACAAATTGGTGGTTGTCAACTATAAGTTTAGTTAATGAAGTTGGGTAAACCACAGTACAAGTTTGATACAGCTGGTCTCACATGCATTAGTCGTTTGTTGGCACCAATTGCTACTTGCTCCAAGAAAGGGATGACACTAAAAACAGCAGATTTTGAGAACGAGCTAATTTGCCTTACCAACCTCTACAAACTTACAATATTATTTGACAATCAACCAAAGCTGCACAGAACTTCATAACAAAGAAATGCCTTAGGTGATAAAATATTTTAATGTGATCTTGAACATGAGTGATAAAATGAATGATCTTTTATAACAAAATACAAATGAAAACAAGAAGGAAAAAGTAAAACTAATTTAAATATTGGAAATGTAAATTTTCAATTGCCCTCTTACTGTGCTATAAGATATTAAATATAATTAATTGAGTACTTAGGTAGTAATATTGAATCAGAACAGTTGAATAGATTTAAGTGTGATGTGATAACAATCCCACAGATGTAAACTCCATTTTTTTTCAATTGTTCCTCTTTATTTTGATCAGAGGTTAGATGAAGAAGACAGGCCAACTGGCTGTTTACTTTGTCCAATGAGGGGAGATGTGGAAATTGACTACAAAGTAAGTTATTAAATAACCATTACATGGTCTGTAAGAGGCTAAAGTTTAAAATATAAATTGTCATTTTGGTCACAAATTGCAGTCAAGCTTGTGAAGTGCATGTGTGAATAGTAAGGTATTTGTTATATTCTTGTATTTATAATTTATCCTTGTGTACCTACAGAATGTCCGTTTACTGTCCCAGTTTGTTTCACCTCATACTGGTAGAATTTATGGACGCACTCTTACAGGTTAGTTTGTGTATCACCTACAAAATTAACTATTTTTGTAGCTCTAGACAGAGCTATTTTTCTAATCATAGTTTGATTAATAGTGTTGTATACCATTTGAGTAACTGCAAAATTCTTGTCTTGGAAGGTTTGTGTCATAAAAAACAAAAAGAAATTGGAAAAAACATCAGAAGAGCTAGAGCCATGGGTAAGGAGTGAGTCCCTTATTTTAGCAGTTAATGCACTAACATCAGTTTGCAAATACTCCATACTGTTCTCTCTATGTTTCTTATAGTACTTTCAAGGATAATTAAGGTAATAATCAATAGCATGTTGACCTCATGATCATTTCTTTTAATCTCATGACCTTAATGTTTTATTCAGGAGTGATACTGTTGGGAGAAATTAGATGCTCATCACTCTTGGGCATTGAAGGGTTACCTGTGACTGCTTGTTTAGAACTTTTTTCTCTGCTTTGAGCAATTCCTTATTTCTCTGTTTGATTGTTTTCAGGTTTCATGCCTGTTACCATGAAGTACCTTGACTTCCATGAGGACCCACAGTTATTCTAGCAGCAATTTAGAAATAGTTTTGGCCCTGGTTACACCTACATTACTATTTTGTAAATAAAATCAAAATTAATAGTGACCTTGGTATCTTTTTGTTGAACTCGACTCTTTTGACAAAGTATTAAGGGTATGTGGGAAACATATTGCTACATAATTATGTTTCACTAGCATCTGCTAAACCAGGTTTGACCACTCTAAAAAGTAATTTTTGGGGGACGATGAAATAATGAGGATTAGAATGCACCACTAGCAACAGCTCAATGTGGTAGATACAAAATATTATTCATGATGTAAAGAGTTATAGTCTCATTATCTGGTGAAAACAAGCATTTCAGCTGCAAACAATGTCACACTCTTATGACCAGCCTTTCATTTCAAGAAAAAATGTATGATTTTTCTGCCCTGTGTAAGTGGAAAGGTTCAACTCTAGAGAGCATGCAAAATTGATTTGTGTATCAGGATTGGACTGAAAGGAAGATCAGAGAACTAAGAGGAAAAATTTGAAAAACAAGGTCGGGAACTAACAACAAACCCAACCTTCACATGAAGAAAAGTCCATTTTTGATCCTGAGCAACTTCACTGGGAGGCAAACACTTAAATAATGGCACTCCCCCTCAGTTCCTAGAAATCTATTTATTAGAGCAATACAAAACAAATTTGTCTTTTTTATTGAACTTCAAAAAGTATCATCAAGCTTTTCCAAAAAATATCCTGATTATTTCCAATCCTGTATGGGCTGAACTGGATACAGGTGTGTACAAGCAAAGTGTATATCAGGGAGAAAGAGGATGGGTATGAATGTCCTGGGAAAAAGAAATAAGCTCTGCCAAGCAATGCTTTTTTGAGTCAATTTTTTTGTAGATAATATAATCAGCTCTGTTTTAATATTGCAATATAAAATGAATGTGTGACAAGTTTGTAGTCAGTACATAAAACATGCAAAATTTAAAATATCTTTTGCCCATAAGTGGTAAATCTGTATTTAAAAAGAGACTAGTGATTCATTATACAGGTCTTAATAATACATAATCCTTATTTGCAATAGTTGAAAAACTACATTGTTTTGTTCTAAATATCAGCCACGCTATTAATATTTAACAGTAACCATGTCTTCAATAGGTAAATTAGAGTTATTCCTGTATTATGAATATTTCAACTGAGCTGTCCCTAAGAAGGCTATGTTCAAGGTTGAATGCAACTCTGCTAAAAAAAAAATCAAAAAAAGGAAGGCTATCAAAATATTTGCCAGGCTATGAATAAATAGGAATTCACGAAAAAAAAACTGTTCATCCTGTTTGTAATAACTGTATGTAATACAGTTAACACATTACACTTTTATGCTTTCAGGGCAAGATAAATGGGTGAAGGGTAAGTTCCTTAAGAAACTGTGGTGCTGTGTTGGTGGGAGAGTATAACAGGGTAATTAAGTATTATCAAGTGAGTTGATAACATAAATTGGCCACTGTAACAAGTTCCAAAACTTGTTATGGTGACCAATTTACAATAACAACACAGTTGATAATGCTAAATTACTGAGATAAATGGGTTTTGTTTTATGTCTGTAGATCAAATTTTTATTTGACCCATTTATTTGAGTATTGAAATGTGACAATGAGCACAAAACACAGAAAAATAAAATCTAAAACAGTTAGGATAAAAATATCCACTGATATTATTTAGTGAAGTACATGCTTGCAGCGCTTTTAACAAATTTCATAAACTTTGTAGAAAATTTGGAAAACTACTGTCAGTAATAATCATAGTTGCAAAAATCTTAAGCAGGCAAGTGATAGTTTTCTCTAACAGATCACAGGTGAGATTATTTTCTTCCTGGAGGGTTGATTCCCTAGAACCTTAAACAAAGCCAGGACTTTAATGGTTTTTATCTTATAAAAAATGTGTTAACTGGCTAAATAAATGTAGTCCTAATTATTTCAGTACTGTTGTACTGAAGGATACTTTAACCTGCAGTTATTATGACGAGTATCATTCAAACTTATTTTGAGAGAGATGTGCAAAAATAAGATTGTTCAATTACGTGACTTGTGAAATTTAACAAAAAGTGTCCTATCTAACTTTGTAGACAAACCTCTTACTACCCCTGTATCTCCAGTTTGCTAAGCAAAGTTTTTAACTGCAATGATGCTAATAACTGAAGCCAATTGGACAAAAACTGACCAATCAAAAGAATAGCTAAACAGAAAACATTGAATTGGGATGACATAGTTCTACTTAAATTTTGAGCTAATCTTACACCACACTACAAACTCATTCCTATCAGTATCAAACAAAGTTACTGACAGAAGAACAACAAAACCTATTTCAACACATGGTTTTAAGCTAGCATCCAAAATATCTATTCTTTGTATATTATAACTTTTCCAACATACATGAATGCCATCCATTCATTCACAACTAGGTTTCCCATCAGTTTTTGATTGATCAGTTTCTTATTTTTTAGAGCAGCCTCATTTTAGTGTAACATACAGTGTAGTAGTTTGTCTCCATAAAACACATTCACTTAGTCTGAGATCACACACTTGACTGTGTTGTTGTTTATCATGGCCTATTAATCTGCAATAACACAGCAAACTTGATTCCCTTCTACATATTTTTTGATAAAAGAAAAAGTCAATTTATAGAAACACATGCAATGAGGAGGAAGCAAGTTTTACCTTTGTATATCAACTTAAAAAACATAAGAATACAGTTTGTGGCAATCTCTCTGTGATTTTTAGAATAATAATATTCATTTGTTTAATGGACAAAGGCCTAACTATTCATAATTATTATAAACTTAGACCAGTAAATGTGTTGCAAGGTATTATTGTATCAAAAGTTTATACAACATAAGAATCTTTAAAATATCTTCCCTGCTGTCAGAAAACTGGTGACGACGTCTCCATTGCAAGATTTTGAGAGAGTTTTTCTTCATAGTCTGGTCCACTTCCTGTAATTTTATCCTCTATAGAATATGGCTGTGTTTCATCATCTGTGACATCATCATCGTCAGCCACTACTGGCTGAACATAACGAACAACAACTCTAGCAGGGGTTCTTTGTTTCCGCCTTCTGTTAAAACTGGGAGAGTTCAGATTTGGTGATCCTTCTGCAGTGGCATCTGTATTTTCCTCAGAAATTCCTTGGTCATTTTTCTCTCCCAATTCACTATCACTAGCTGCAACAGAAGCTATAGATTTGTTATCATCACCAGGCAAATTTGATCCATGTGTTTCAAAAGTTCTTTCTGCTTCTTCTTTCTCCTGGTTGGATTCACTTAATAGAGAATTAGGCTGGAGAGGCCGTTTTTCATCCACTTCGTAGGAAGCTGTTACAATAAAAAGTAGAGTAGTCTCAAATTAACATCTGTATGACATGAGTGGGGTTAGTTTTAATTTTGAGTCTTCCACATGTTGCTGTTCAAAACAATTAAATGGAGCATGGATCAAACAAACTCTGCAACCTTTGATTTACTTAGCAACAGACTTATAGTTGTAACAATTTTCTACCCCCTTAATTAATTTATTAAGTAGTTAAAAGAAGCAGTGATGTTTCAGTTACCATTTTTCCTTGAAAGGTCCTTACGACACTCTTCCAGTTCCTTTCGTCTATTTTCTACTTCTTCATTCAATGAAGACACAGTGGTTTCACTACCTTTTACAACTTCAACTAAATTCTTGGGAGATAAAATAAACTGCTTACCTCATGAAATTAAAAGCACAAGCAAAATTTTCTATTGTTCAAAGCGAATCCTGAGGGAACCCCTCGAAAACACTCAGTATACAGGTATGTTCTATACCTAGTGTACAGGTATTTGCTGCCCAATGGGGCCAAGGTATTGAACTCCTACTTTAGTGCAAGGTGTCCATTTAAGAGAAATTTTCCTGAGGAGGACGTGACATTTTGAGCACAGAGAAACCATCTTTTCTCACACAAACCACTAAAATTTCTCCAACAAGGGTTCAAATCTGAGCTATTTTTAGCATGATGTATGATTTTGGGTGTGAATTCTTTCTCAATACAGCTCCAAATTTGAAAATCAGGGGACACATGCCTACCCAAAGCAGACCCAAATGCCAACCCCATGGGTAAAACCCTCCCCTAACCATATGCTTCATTCTGTAATCAAATTGCATTACCCTGAGAACATTTTCTCAAGATTCTTTAAAATATCTTAATAACTTACTAACTATGTTAGTTTGTGGCTATGTAACAAGTTATGTTTTGTTATAAATCCATCATCAAATTGATGGATAACATTTGTCCACTAATGTCTTATACTTATATGTAAAGTCAACAATATTATACTGCTTTTATAGGTAAAACATCTTTTACTAACAAATAACTAACAGCAAAGTAATAAGTAGAGCTCTAAGAGAGCAAACAGTTGTTTTCACAGAAGATTCTGAGTCCCAGGAGAAAGAAAACATACATAATTTGCAGAAACCTACAACCCACGCAATTGTTCAATCTTCCAGCACTTTACCCATGTCAATCAACATCTATTGGCAACAACAAATTTCAACCCAGAATTTAAAGGAGAGTATAGTGTTTGCAATAAAATTGATTAACATAAAGGTTTTTGCAAAAGTCAATCAATGTCTTAACAAGAATTATCATAAATGATGGGGTGAAGATTTGCATGGGCTTTTGTGCTACAAACACAACGTACTTGAAAAGGTTTGACTAGTCCTTTGCACAATTATGTAAGAATCCCTGTTTAGCAGCCCCTCCCCCTCCACTGTCAAGGGAACCTTAATCATCAATTTAACATACAAGATACTTTAAATTCACACCTGCAACCTTTTCATCATAGTTATGTACATGCCATGCATATTGGAGGACTGTTGTATACATCCTTTATCATCAACAAACTCATTTCTGTAAGAAATAACAGATCAAGTCTTAGAACCAGTATCAAACCACTTTCTCACTAAACATCTAAGACCTAAACTATTTGTCTGATTCATATGAAAATGATTAAAAAGTTGTCAAGTACATTTCTCATACCTAAAAATCCTTAAACATAAAATTAAATAAGTGTAAAATTGTGATTTCTAAAGCCTGCAGTATTGATCATCCAAGGCCTAAAGCTGTCACATTTTGTTTTTCAAGTGTAATTTCTGAATCAGCATTATTTTACAAATTTGACATTGATCACTTCTGCAACAATGGTCTTACTATAAGAAAAAGGGTAGATAAATTTCACAGCCTTTTATTATGTTAAGTGTTTTTTTCTGTGAGAACTTATTTTTCAGATCAATGGCTACCCACAAAATCCCCAAAAAGGATGCACAAGCTACCCATATGATTAAAACAAATAAATTAAGCAATTATTACATATTATATAAAATGGATTGCTTAAGTGAAGGGTTCAAGTATATCTTAGGAATGCAGTTATTCTGATCTTTAAATAGCAGCATTCTAGGTGATGTACAGTACACTTTATCTGTGCTTGTTACCTGTAAGAGTCTATCACTTCATGAAAAAGACTGGACGTGGCTTGGGCAGAGTGACAGTTAAGTCTATACTCAGAATGTGATGTATCTCCAAGGTTTAATATCTGTACCTGAACTGGTTAAAAAAACCTGTGGGGAAGAGTGTGACTACAACATTAAGAAAGATGTCCAGAAACAAACTTTAAAAAGGGAAGCCATAAACTTCCATCTCTTCTCAAAAATCACTATGAAGGAAAGCTGGGGGGCCCCACAAACATGATATTTGACCCACGATCAGGAGTTCGCTACAGCCAACAGTTACTTGCACCAACTCACAAGGTTCAGCATTTAGGGTCTAGTTGCTCATGGTAGTTTTTCTTCTCTTTCAATTTTGTC